AACCCAACAGAAAATTAAAAATAGGACTAATGAAATATGTGCAAGACTGCTACCAAAAAAAAAAAAAATTGACATTATTGAGAGAAATTAAAGAATGCCTAAATAAGTATAGAAAAGCCCCAAGTTTATAGAGTGGAAGACTTAATAAATTGGACATATTAATCCTCCTTAGACTGATTCACAGATTCAACACAATCCCAGAAGTTTGTTTTCCTAATTTTTAAAGACAACTTTCAAACTGATTCTCATATCCATGTGGAAATTTTAAAGGGGCCAGAAAGAAGAGGGAAAAAAACAAAGGATCTGCACTACCAGTAATGAGACTTGTTTTAATTGCCATAGTAATTGTAGGTGTCAGCCCCCCAAAATTAAAAAACCTGTAGTATATAGGGCAATATGTAGTAACTTTAACGTTTGTACCCCCATAATATGCTGGGGGAAAAAAAAAAAACTGGAGTAAATAACTCAATAAATGGCCAGTAGGTGGCAGTGCTGCTACACAATTTATTTCAAAGACCACCTGCAGGGTGAATTAATGAAATACAGTCATATCCATGGGGGGTAGGTTCTAGGAAAACCCCACAGATACCAAGATCCATGGATGCTCAAGTCCCATAGCATCTGCATATAACCTATGAATATCCCTGCATGTACTTTAAATCATCTCTGCATAATTTATATTTCATGTAAATGCTACATGAATGGTCGTTATACGACAGTGTTACTTATATTATGATGTATATTAATAACACTGAATGCCATATAAATGCTACGTGAATGGTTGTATTATACTGTATCATCTTGGAAATAATGACAAGGGGGGAAAAAAAAAACATCTGTACACGTTCGCCACAGATGCAATTTTTTGTTCCAAACATTTTCAGTCCTCGGTTGGTTGAGTCCACAGGTTTGGAACCGATGGTTATGCCGGGCAGACCAGACAAAATATCCAACACTGGGCAGGTGGCATCTCTCTCTTCTGAATGTGTGATGACTTTGTTGTTTTCAGAGAAATAGTCTCATCATAAAAATATACATGCCATCGATAATTTTATTTATTATTTTTGAGACAGAGTCTCACTCTGTTGCCCGGGCTAGAGTGAGTGCCGTGGCGTCAGCCTAGCTGGGCTCCAGCGATCCTCCTGCCTCAGCCTCCCGAGTAGCTGAGACTACAGGCATGCACCACCACGCCTGGCAATTTTTTTTTTTCTATTTTTACTTGCCCAGCTCATTTTTCTACTTTTAGTAGAGACGGGGTCTCGCTCTTGCTCAGGCTGGTCTCGAACTCCTGACATCAAGCGATCCTCCCGCCTCGGCCTCCAGAGTGCTAGGATTGCAGGCGTGAGCCACCGCATTTGGCCTTCGATGCATTTTTGACTTAATGATTTTTTTTTTTTATAGATTTAAGGGGTACAAGTGCAGTTTTGCTACATGGATATACCGCATAGTAGTGAAGTCTGGACTTTTCATGCAGCCTTAACAATATTTTCAGCTTACAACGGGTTTATTTGGATGCAATCCAACCTTAAAAAATTGAGGAACATCTGCATTTAGACGGCTTCGGTTTTTACCCCCAGCCCTTTCCCTGGAAGCCTGAGCTCCCTGTCTCCCCTTGTCTCTTCCTTTCCGGAAGGCATTTCAAAGGGGCCCCCAGTCTTCTGCCACTTTCATCCGACCGAGTCTGACGTCAGCCCCATCTCTCCACCTGCCTTGCACTTCACGGCGCACCTGTTGGCCCTTGCGGGGCTGAAGGATCCCTCTCTTGCTTTATCAATCTCATGTTTATTTTATTTTATTTTTTATTTCAGAGTATTATGGGGGCCCCAATGCCTTGGTTACATAAACTGTCTTTGCACCACAGGACAAGTGTGCCCAGCGCCCGGAAGGTGTGCACACCGTTAGCTGTGAATTTACCCATCCCCTCCTCCCCTTCCCCGCCTGTTTCATTTTCGATGAATGTTATTTCCATACGTGCCCTTCAGTGTTGGCCAATTAGTTTCAATTTGCTGGTGAGTCCATGTGGTGCTCGTCTTTCCATTCTTGGGATACTTCACTTAGTAGAATGGGCTCCAGCTCCATCCAGGATAACACAAGAGGTGCTAGATCGCTGTTGTTTTTTGTGGCTGAGTAGAACTCCATGGTGTACAGATAACACATTTTGTTAATCCACTCATGGATCGATGGGCACTTGGGTTGTTTCCACATCTCTGCAATTGTGAATTGTGCTGCCGTAAACATTCGAGTGCAGATATCTTTGAATGAGCCTTATTCAGACAAAGCTTGGGGTCACACTTTGAAAGACATTCATGGACACCAGTCAGTGATGGAATAAGTTTAAAATTATTCAGTAGCCAGGAATTAGAACGGTGGCTTGGAAACACTCTTCGGGGGGTTGCTGGATAGAGTCTAGTCGTCTGCTAAACCTTTAAAGTGAATATCGATTTTCCTTAAACATCCATTACAGGCTCGGCTCGGCAGGATTTCGGGCCGTTTTCCACATCACGTAAGCGTTAAACCAATCACACTCGGAGAGGGACACGCAGATGCCTTTGACTTTACTCAAACGAGGCAGGTCTGGGCGGCCAGACCACGCACGTTTATGCTCAGCAAACGTTAGGAGGAAGAACAACAACAACAACAACAAAAATACGAGGAAAAACCCATTTTATGCCACTTCAGTCTTCTCTGTGCAAACCTGAGCATCTTAAGATCCCACATGTTTGGGTTATTGCAAAGTCACTCAAAAATTAACACGTGAAGCTAGCTGCCCGAGACCATTTTCCCCATATCAGAGTATAACACACGGTGTGCATTCCGTAGAGACACGTACCCGAACGTGCACGCCGCTTGTTCCTACCGGCAAGAAGCCACTCTCCCGGAGCTCTGTGACATGCATAAAAAAAGGGTGACGCCCCTTCAGCCCAGCCCCAAATCCATCCATGCCTACGTCCGACCTCACAATCGTTCTAGCGAGAAACTGGTTTCTCACCATCACGAGCATGAGCATTTAAAAACGAGAAGTCGCTAACCACTTGGGCACGGCGCTCGCCGGCCACTGCGACACCTCACCCGCAGCCGGCACTCGCGGCCCGCTCGGCGGTCTGTGCCGCGCATGGACGGCGCGTCCGACTTGCTCTTGCGTGACGAGGAAAGCTTGGAAGCACCGCAAGCTTGTTTGACTTCACAGGCAGCTTTGCTTGTCATGTAAATATCAGAGCAGGTAACACAGACATACATGCTTTCATTGCGTTATTTTTAAAAGTTCACAATTTTACTTTGGTAAATGCAAAATCAAGAAAAGCCACGGGTCACGGCTGTTGGCTACGGTCGCCGCGCCTGTGCCAAAGTGGTTAAGCGCAGGACGCGGTTACAAAGTGTCCACTCGGACATCCGGGGGAAATGACAGCTTCCAGGATTCTGTGCTTTCCACCGAAGGTGAGCTTGGGTCGGTTTTCTTCTCCGAGGACAAACTTCTGGCAGGTCTAGCCTCGCCAGACCCGACCCCCACGGGTCTGCCGACATTCGGCTGTGACATCCTCTCCCCGCCCCCGACACTAATCCTCCTGCCCCCGCTGTCCAAAACCCTCCCGGCGCCTGAAGACCCGTCCAGATAATCCGGCAGCGTCTCCTGTCTTAAAACCGGCAAGCCACTCGCTTCTGCAAACCCCCACTGCCGCGTCAATGCAAGACTCACGGGTTCCAGGGATCAGACCACAGACACCTTTCAACCGGCGGTTTTCATCTTAGTATTAATGCACGCGGGTGACCCCCAGCCCGGAGCAAAGCCAACACCGGCCCTTCCCTCCCCGGGCAGTGCTGGAAGCCGCTCTCCCCCGGCCACCCCTGCGTGGGCAGCAGGTACTTACGCCTTCCGAATGGCCCTCGTCCGGGACAAGCGGGGTCTCCTCCACTTTCACCTTTGGCTCCGGAGGGCCCCGAGTGGGACATGGCTGGTCAGCTTCCGGTGCTGGATTCGCACCCGGCACCCCGGCACTGGGGGTCGACGTTGCACACGGCTCTGCAGCGCTGGGTGTTGGGTTTGCACACGGCACCGCAACACCGCTGGGGCAGACCTGCAGGGACGGATGAAGAGCGAGTGGAATGAGCGGCCCCCACATCCCGTGAGCTCACCTGAGACCCGCAGGACCCCCAGATCTATCCTATCTCGGTGTAGCCGGGGCTCCCAGCCCTGGATTCTGCACCGAGAGACACCTGTTCTCAGTTGTTTTCTTTCTCACAACCACACCACGCTACGGCCAGACGTTCCCCTCTACCCGACCTCGTGCCTGGCGGAAAACGGAGCAGCCACTCAATGTCTGCGCCCTCAATACCGATTAACCCTGTTCAGTCTCTCCAAACGAGGACGCACAATTTTCTGGGTTGTTGAAAAAGTACCATCTAGCTCCACCAAATAAAAAAAAAAATTGTAAAAAATAAAATACGAATTCTTCTCGATTACCCAAGCAAGGCATTTGCTGATACCTGATTCCACTGTAATAGTTAATCCTACAGTAAAAAGAAATAAATTGAGGTTGGGCGCAGTGGCTCACCACGGTGATCCTAGCACTCTGGGAGACCGAGCCGGGAGGATCGCTTGAGCTCAGGTGTTCAAGACCAGCCTGAGCAAGAAGGAGACTTCGACTCTACTAAAAACAGAAAAAAATAGCCGGGCATGGTGGCACATGCCTGTAGTCCCAGCTACTCGGGAGGCCGAGGCAGGAGGCTTGCTTGAGCCCAGGAGTTTGAGGCTGCTATGAGATACAATGATGCCACGGCACTCTAGCCGGAGCGACAGAGCAAGACATTGTCCCAAAAAAACCCAACAACAAATTGACCAAGAATAAAACATTTCCTGGTATGTAATTTCAAAGGGATTTTTTGCAAGGCAGATGCAACAGACTGCAGAAACAGAACCATTTAGTGTGCTTAGAGGCTATCATTATGTTTTTAAAAAATCAAATTGGTGTCAATCAAAAAAATTTTAAAAACCCTCATCAGACACTTCCTCCGATTGCTATTTCAAACGAATGATGGCTGAAAGGAAAAAAAAAAAACATCTATGCGAACGATGTTTTAATCAGTTACGGCTGGGCACTTATCAAACGAGTGGCTCTTACTCTAATGAGGAGGGCTAATTTAAATAAGCTGTTTATTCATGCCTCAGTTCTGCAAATCACAGAGACATCTCTACTCATCAAACATTCTCTATTTGAGCAAAATCATTTAAAAAAAAAAAAAAAGTTGCCTGCCACTTTAGAATCCGTTTGCATGAAATACATACTGAGAAACAAAAAGGGAGAATTGAAAGGGAAAGGAAAAACCACCATGGGCGTCAGTCACTGTCTGCAACTCCGGTTTTTAACACGCCGAGTGCCGCGCGAGTTGTATTTAACTCACGCTGGTTTTGAGGCCGGGGCCCACGTGAAGCAAAAAGCCCCCGCATCTCTGGTTCCAGAAAACGTTACTTGTTGATTTTTTTTTTTTTTTTTATTGCTGCGACGGAATACCGGCGATTTAATTCTAACAACGCAGACTGCGTGTTGCAATAGACAACTCGCCGCACAGGAGACAGTAAAAAGCGGCAAATTCGAGAGGGTCGTTCATGTCGTAACGAAACACGGCGGCACTAGGGAGAATGTCTGTGTTTGCTTTTTCCTAGCGTGGGGCGGCCACTTACCGCGTGTCCGGGGCACGCGTGTGTTTCCACGGCACGCAGGGTTTCATAGAGTGGCAGGACGCTGCTCTGGTAGGTGTGCCACCAGAGGTTGAGGAAGGTCGCCTGGTGCTGGCCGCCCAGCCCCACGCTCTGCTCCGAGACCGAGCCGGTCCGGGGGTTGTACTTGTAGTTCCAGGGCTTCGTGGACCCCAGAAAGTGCACGACCTTGGCGCTAGACCCGAACCTGGGGAGGGAGGAGACAAGACAGAAGGGAGTGGAATTTCTAGGCGGGACTCCGGCCGGGAGTGCATTCCACCGCAAACGCATACGACAGCACGGAGAAACTGGCATCTGAAAAAAAGTAATGACCATTTGCATTTCCCTGGGGGGAAAAAACAAAGTGCTTAGTAAGAAAAAAGGGAAACATCTTAAATGCATCTTAAATCTTCTTAAGAAAAAGGAATATTAATAATGTTCATATTAGTGACAGGCTGAGGTATTGATAACCTTTTTTTGGGGGGAGACCAGATGAAATGAAACATAGAAGCAATTTTAGAACTGAAAGAATTTCTACTCGGAAGTGATAAAAGACGCAACCACCACGGGACCCCTCAAAGGTGACCTTGGAAAGGACTAGCCCCAACCTGCCTAGTTACGGATAAGGGCGTCATCGCCATTCGTTCGATTTGCGGTTATTCTGAGTGAAAATACATTTTTAGATTCGAGATCTGCAAATGTGGAAGAAATACACAAGCTATTGCTGAGAGAGTTCATGAATGACAGAAGGTAGCATGATCTTAACAAACTTTTGGAGCAAAAAAACAAAATATAATCATCAAGAAATCTGAAATATGTATATATATATATATATTTTTTTTTTCCCCCCGAGACAGAGTCTTGCTCTGCTGCCCAGGCTAGAGTGAGTGCTTACTACAGTCTCAAACTCCTGGCTTTAAGTGATCCTCCTGCCTCAGCCTCCCAAGTAGCTGGGACTACAGGTGCACACCACCATGCCTGGCTGATTTGTCTCTTTTTAATAGAGACGGGGTCTCACTCTTGCTCAGGCTGGTCTCAAACTCCTGACCTCAAGCAATCCTCCCTCCTCGGCCTCCCAGAGTGCTGGGAATATAGGCGTGAGCCACCTCGCCCAGCCCAGAGATCTGAATTTTAAGGCAAATCATTACATGTCTTCAATTAACAGCTGCAGAAGTTTCAACATTACGAAATCTTATAACCATTCCTTTACCATAATAATTATTTGGTGTTTAGGTGAAAATAAATGTTAACAATAAATAAAATTTTTTAGAAAAGTCACGGTTGGTAGTTATTTCATTTTGTACCTACCAAGAATCATAATCATAACCCATTGAATTCTTCTCCTAAAACTGGAAGAATAAACCAGTGTTTCAAAGATAGTACAGCAACTCAAATAGTACAGCATCCTCTCCTTAAAATATGATAAAGACAAAAAAATTAGCTTTTATAGCAGATAATGCAAGTGGCAAACCAAACGATTGGTGTTTTTTTGTCTTTTTTTTTTAAGATTCTGAATTTTCCTCTCTCAATCTTGTCATTCAACAACAAAAATGCACCCCTTTCTAGGTGCCCTTTTAAACATTCTTTTTTCTTTAATCATCACCCCATGATATTTTAATACTACACTAGTCTGTGTTCTGTGTGTCACACTTGTGATTATACATTGAAAACTAAGATGTTTTTCACTCCTTGAGAATCCATTTCTATGTCCTTGGGCACAATATGGTCCCAAGTGCTTCTAGTTCTACACACTAGAACTAATCATTTCCAAGATTATTCTCAGGTTTCCTATGATAAATGAAATGTCCCCTATCACAGTGAATTTCAAAGATTTTCAACCCCTGACCCTCTTTGATACTCTTAAATATTATTGAGAAATCAAAGATTTTTTTTCATGGTGGGGCACACTGGCTCAAGCCTGTAGCTCCAGCACTTTGGGAGGCCAAGGATGGAGGCTCGCTTGAGGCCAGGAGTTCCAGACCAGCCTGGACAACATAGTGAGATCACATCTCTATGGGCCAAAAAAGGCTGTGTTCACATAGTTTTTATCTACCCATATTTATCCTAATAGCGATTACAACTGAGAAATCAGAAAAATCTATTTCTCAATTCATCAAAAAAAAAAAAATTCAACGCATGAGACATTCACATAAATTTCACGTTTTTCCACACTCAGAAAAAACTATATTTCCACAAACCCACGACGAGAGGCATGGCTTCGACTGTCTGAAGAATACACAACTCATCTCTTGGCTGACGAGCAGGGCGTTGTGTTTAATCACTCGCCATGCGGCGTCTGTAAAATCTCATCGTACGCTCACGAAAAAAATGACAGTGAAGAGGGACAATCACATCTTGCAATTCTTTTTTTTTTTTAAAGCAGCTTTGACTTTGGGGTCGCTTGGAAGACTTGCAGGGAGCTCCCCTCGGACAATACGTGGGGAACCCGGTCACGAACCCTTGACTACCTGGCATGCACGGCAATCTAAGCAAGCAAGGGATGAGAGATAACATTTATTCATTCAGATTTATTTATTTACTTATTTAAATTTATTTACTTAACATTTATCTAAGTGTATTTATTTAAAATAAATAAATAAGTACGCATCATTCTCCACGGATAACCCGAAAACGTTAATAATAATAAATAATTAACAATAAGATTGCATGTCGTGTCTGAGGTTCGCCCCTCACTCCCAGTGAATTCCACCTGTCCGCGAGAACGCGTTTCCCACCGTTTGGTAGGATATATATCCCATTCTAGCCTTGCAGAAGGACGCTTAGGATGTTCACGCCAGGACAAAATCGTCCAGTATTTTTTTTTTTCCGCTATGCCAACGGCTGGTATGTATTCAGAGAGAGAGAGAGAGAGAGAGAGGGTGCGGGCCACGGCGTGGGACTCACTGTTTGAAGGCGGGGCCGTAGGTGTACGCCGAGCTGCTGCTCAGGTTGTAAATGAACGGCAGGTGTTTGCGGATGTCTGCCGTGGGCCAGTTGCTGAAGAAGCTGTTCAGCAGCCCTTGATCAGCCCCTGTGGCATGAGCAAACGCAAACCGGAGATCAGCAGAGCTCGAGGCAGTCGCTCAATGCTAATAACCCTTTGCCATCGCCAATTCTGTTTTTTTTTTTTTTTCTCTCCGCCAGCTAACGCATTCTCTCTGTTCTCCAAGCGGACCGGTAGCCCAAGCCATCGATAAAAAAACAAGCGCACGTTTTTTCTCTCGAAAATTCCCCGCGGACGACGCGAAAAACGTAATCATCGGATGGCATATCGTCTTTGAAGCTCACCACTCACTCCTTCCCCAGTGAGTTCTGCCCGGTCGCGAGAGTGCATTTCCCACTGTTTGGGAGGCTACGCCGTCCAGGGCTTGGGTAAGGGCTCTCAGGATGCTCACAGCACAGTAAAATCGCCCGGAAATGCGTTTCTCAGAATGAACCCCCACCGGTCAGCGACGCTCGGCTGTATCGCCAGTGCCTGATCCCAGGCTGCACCTGCAGCACCGGGCATTTGCAAAGAGAGACTGTGCGGTTTGCAACACCCACGGCAGCTAATATCACCTGGCCGTTTAGAGAGAAAGGCTTAGGCACCTGTTCTACATGCTTGGCAACGTCCAGCCGCTCTTTCTAACTCATCAAGGATACTTCTTTCATGGTTCTCTCAGAGGCTTGTTTACTTACAGAATTCTTAATTTTTCTTTTTTTTTTTTTTTCTGAGATAGGGTCCTGCTCTGTTGCCCCGGCTGGAGTGCAGTGGCGTCATCACAACTCACTGCAGCCTCGAACTCTTAGGCTCGAGGGATCCTCCTGCCTCAGCCTCCCGGGCAGCCGGGACGGCAAGGCGTGCACAATGACGCCTGGCTAACTTTTCTATTTGCAGTGGAGACGGGGGTCTCGCTCTTGCTCAGGCTGGTCCGGAACTCCTGCCCTCAAGAGATCCTCCCGCCCCGGCCCCCCGAGAGTGCTGGGACTACGTCCAGCAAATGGGCCGAGGGCAGGGGTCTGGGTCTTACCAGCGGCCCCCAGAGTTTCCGGGCTCCCCCTCGCTTACCGTCGAAGCTGCCGTACTCGGTGGCATGTTGCAGCATGCGTTTATGCGTTTCCAGAGACGGCTGGAAGACAAACACCCCGCTGTTGAAGCAATCCGGCCACCCGGGGTCGGAGGCTGCGGAAAACTCTCCCCGCTCAAACAGCTCGTCGATGTTGGCCAGGACCTGGTGCGGGCGAACACAGAGAACACGCAGACAAGCCTGGCTCGCCGCCGGCACGCCAGCAAGGAGTGCAACGGGACGGGCCAGAGGAAAAGCAAGCCTTGGTGCTTGCAAACCCGTTCCCAGTTTTCAAGGAGGGGGGCTCTCTTAATACTTTCGGACTTTATGCTTACAGGAGAAACCTTTGTGACTGTCCTGCCGTGTGCTCCAAGTGGTTGGAGTAAGGCTTTCCGAAATTAAATCGTTCTCTCCAGGTTTCTAAGATGCTGCATGGAATCCCCTTAATTGCATATCCCCACATCTCCAGCCAGCGTGACCAAGGAAACCACGGGGACCCGTGAGAAACGGAGAGGTTTGCAACTCAATACAGAGTCATCAGTCTCCTTGGAGAGCTTGGCTGCCAATTGCAGTTGCTTCTAATACACGGTGACTTTCTAAACGGCGCTCCTTTTTGGGGGGAAAAAGCCATTATTCTGTTTACTCGGTCATTCTTGTTTCCTTCTTTCTACGGAGCTACTTTTGTTTAACCGAGGCAATCCCGAACTGACTGCCAACACTCCAACTGCATTTCGTGTTTTCGTCTTTTTCCAATGGCTGTCTCTGAAAGTGGCCATCACAGATTGCTATGCTGTGAGTCACTGCCCCAACTGACAATCAGGACATCTGACAGACCTTAAGAGGCCAGATATACCGGTTCAATCAGGACCATAAAATTCAATATACAATCAGGATGAAAAAAAAATATTTTCTAATTATTGGCCAGGTGCAGTGGCTCATGCCTGTAATCTCAACACTCTGGGAGGCTGAGGCAGGAGGATTGCTTGAGGCCAGGAGTTCAAGACCAGCCTGAGCAAGAACGAGATGCCCATATCTATTAAAAATAGAAACGTTAGCCAATTAGCCAGGCGTGGCGGTGCACACCTGTAGTCCCAGCTACTCGGGAGGCTGAGGCAGGAGGATCGCTTGAGGCCAGGAGTTCAAGACCAGCCTGAGCAAGAGCGAGACCCTGTCTCTATTAAAAATAGAAAAATTTGCCAATTAACTGGGCGTGGTGGTGCACACCTGTAGCCCCAGCTACTCGTGAGGCTGAGGCAGGAGGATCGCTTGGCACTAGGAGTTCAAGACCAGCCTGAGCAAGAGTGAGATGCCCATCTCTATTAAAAATAGAAACGTTAGCCAGGCATGGTGGTGCACACCTGTAGTCCCAGCTACTGGGGAGGCTGAGGCAGGAGGATCGCTTGAGCCCAGGAGTGTGATGTTGCAGTGAGCTACGGTGACACCACTGCACTCTACCCAGAGTGACAAAGTGAGACTCTTGTCTTCAAAATAATAAAAAAAAATTGTTTTCTAACTATTCTATTCTGTGTAGGTGAAATAATGTGATTGCAAACAGCTCCGGGGCAAGAGACACAAGTTCAAATCCACTGCGGTCCTCAGCAGGGTCCAGCACGGAGCTCTCGGGCGTGTTATGTCTGGCTCCCACGGGCGGAGCATCCGCGTGAGAGACAGCGGGGCGTGTCACCTGTCCCCAGGTACTCACCAGGGTGTCGGCGTCCAGGAAGACGCACTTGCTGTAGTGCGTGAGCCTCCAGCAGTGCAGCTTGGTGAGGGTGACCCCCAGCTCGGGCCTCCGGAGAAAGGCCAGGTGGACGTAGTCTTCGCTGTCCATCAGATTCACCTCCACGACCTCGTCGAACACCTTCGAGAGGAGGAGCCTGGAGGGGCAGGTGCCAGGAGCCAGGACAGCAGGTGAGCACCGAGCACGTGACCACCCACCCCCTCCCACAGGACGCCCCTTGGCTGCTCCCAAACTCGGAGCACGGAACTGATTCCCCACGGCGCTCACTGCTGTCTTCCTGTTCCGCGGCTGTCTGCAGCTGTGCGCGCCTTCCACCCACGCCCAAAACCGTGAGCACGCTCGGAAGGCCACCGGACGGCCGAACACAACTGTGCTACGGTGTGGACTGACTTGGCCGGGCGCGGTGGCTCACGCCTGTCATCCCAGCACTCTGGGAGGCCGAGGCGGGAGGATCGTTTGAGTTCAGGAATTCGAGACCAGCCTGAGCAAGAGAGAGAGGGAGAGAAACCCCTGTCTCTACCAAAAAATAGAAAGAAGTTAATTGGACAGCTAAAAATATGCAGAAAAAAATCAGCCGGGCATGGTGGCGCATGCCTGTAGTCCCAGCTACTCGGGAGGAGGCTGAGGCAGGAGGATGGCTTGAGCCCAGGAGTCTGAGGTTGCTGTGAGCTAGGCTGACGCCACGGCACTCTAGCCCGGGCGACAAAGTGAGACTCTGTCTCAAAAAAAAATTAAATTAAATTAAAAAATAAGATGGACTGACTTGGGCCATCTCTTGGGAAGGTTGCTTCCCTCTTTGAAAGGCATGAGCAGACAGGAGTGAATGCTGAGCAAGTAGAAACCAACAGGTGTCCGGATGTGACAATCTCCATTGGTTTTGAGTTTACGTATTCAAAAGCTACACCGTTGTTAGTTGCCTACGAGTCTGAGACTCAGATCTCGAAAGACCGCACTCGGGCTGAAAACGGAATTCGCCTCTGTTCCATTTACTTATTTGCTGTTGCTTATAACCCTGTTTCAACCCAGCCTGGAACATTTTGGGAGGACGGAAGCAAAAATTGAGCAAGTGCTAGAAAAACGACAGGGGCATGACAAAAGAAGGCAGGGGGGGGGCAACTAGGAGAGAGACCCCCAATTGTGAAAGCAGAAAGAATATTTGATCAGCAAAATAAACAATAAGCCCAAAGTACGAAATAAATATGCACCATGCTGCGATGATATGACAATGCAATAAACAAATAAATAGGAAAGAAGGTCGTTTATTGCCTTTTTTTTCAGGAAAAGAATGGCAAGTTGGTCTTACAAAGGAATTCCAAGTTGCTGGGTGTGGTTGCTCACACCTGCCATCCCAGCACTCTGGGAGGCTGAGGCAGGAGGACTGCTTGAGCTCAGGAGTTCAACACCAGCCTGAGCAAGAGTGAGACCCCATCTCTTCTAAAAAAAAAAATAGAAAAAATTAGCAGGGCGTGGTGGTGCATGCCTGTAGTCCCAGCTACTCGGGAGGCTGAGGCAGGAGGATCGCTTGAGCCCAGGAGTTTGAGGTTGCTGTGAGCTAGGGTCACACCACGGCACTCTAGCCTGGGTGGACAGACTAACACTCTGTCTCAAAAAATATATATAAATAAAAAATAAAAAAGGAAAGAAAAGCGACGTTCATTTTGAGTAGACCTTAAAGACTTAAACGAATACATGTTGATCATTTTCACTGACCCCAAAGAGACAAAAATCCGTGAGAGACTCATCTACGTTTTTCCTTTTGGCTTTGAGAGGTCAGTTCTATAAAAGAATGTAACTGCTGCAAACTCAGAGGGCAGACCACAGAGAGGACCCCAGGGACACGTGTCCGCCCGCCCACACACGTGGTCACTCTTTCCCCCAAAACCTGGCCCACTGTCGTCTTAAACGCAGCGGCTTGAACACGGGGCAATGTGCACTGTGGCCCAATGTATTTTCTTATTTTCTCTTTGTCCTCGGGAAGCCCCGAGGGGCTTCTATTGTAGGCAAGAGAAAAACCGCAATGCAAGGATCGATGTATTGGAAGCATGGTTAAGAGAAGGAGGTAGTACAGCCAATTGTGCTGAAGTCCAATCCCAGCACTTGGCTGTCTGCGTTGAAAGTCTGCTCCCGGCCGGGCGCGGTGGCTCACGCCTGTCATCCCAGCACTCTGGGAGGCCGAGGCGGGCGGATCGCTCGAGGTCAGGAGTTCGAAACCAGCCTGAGCAAGAGCGAGACCCCGTCTCTACTATAAATAGAAAGAAATGAATTGGCCAACTAATATACATAGAAAAAAAAAATTAGCCGGGCATGGTGGCGCATGCCTGTAGTCCCAGCTACTCGGGAGGCTGAGGCAGGAGGATCACTGGAGCCCAGGAGTTTGAGGTTGCTGTGAGCGAGGCTGACGCCACGGCACTCACTCTAGCCTGGGCAACACAGTGAGACTCTGTCTCAACAACAACAAAAAAAGAAAGTCTGCTCCAAGGAGGCCAATGTTTAGAAAGATATCTGACAAACCTAACTGATCATAACACATTCCTCAGAATATTCCTACCGACTTGGCACGACTTTAATTTTGTTTTTTTGAGAATGAAAAATGAGTGCTGATTATTCCTGTTCGGTACCCATCACTCTATATGTCCATCTTTCTCTGCTTCCAGCGTGCAGAGACAAGCCGTGCAAATCTCACGAGTGTTTGCAGGAGTTCTTCACGCACTATGGACAATTTATTTATAATTTCCATTATAAACACCTCCATTGGTTGTGTTCCTCAACTCCTTTGCCTTTTGCACAGAATATTTCTGACCGAGGGCAGCGCCCATCTCCCTCTCTTTGTTTTGTCTAATTTAAAACGGCCTTTCCAGAGTTCACATGAATGAGACATCGAGGGACATCAATGTCTGGAGATATTTTGGGATATTGCAACTGCCAGGAGAGGGTAGGTAATCCCACTGGCAGCTGGTGGGCGGGGACCCGGCTACACACCCCAAAGTACACAGGACAACCCCACCCCACCCCAGACACCTGGCCCCAAATGTCAGCCGTGCCCGGGGGCTGACAAACCTTGATCTGTTTCCTTCTAAGATTTTTCTAAACTTTAAATGTTTGCCTTTAGATTCATAACCTATCTGGACTTCATTTTGTTACATGCTTAATTTTTTGTGCATCAAAAAGATCGCATCCTTGCCCTTTCTCTGACATATTAATGTGATGAATTCCACTGATAATATTGTTTAAATAATAAACTATCTTTGCTGTCTTAGAGTAAGCACTATTTACCTCACTATGACAAAGAGCTAGAGTTGCCTATTTAGTTTTCTGTATTCAGGGGTTTTATTATTATTATTATTATTATTATTATTTATAGAAGAACACAAACTCACACATCAAGTTTCAGATTTCAAGTTTTTAAGATTATGGCAGTTTTTCAACATACGTGAACATATTGATCTTGTTCTAAGCTCCAAGATCATTTACATAGCATGGGATTTTATCATAGTCGACGTAACAGAACTCCCGTTAAAATGGCCAAGACACAGGGCCTTCCTACAGGAAAAAGCTTTGAAAATATTCTCAATTCCTCCACTGATTGTGGGTCTGAAAAAGTTTTCTATTTCTGCTGATGTTAAACATTGGTCATTGCTGGACCAAGATTAGACCACAGATCAAGCATTTATTTAGCACTTCCAATACTATTAGCAAAAGGTTCTAAATAGTATTTACTTTCACGACCATCCAAACGACTCCTTCTTAATTTCAGTTTTGCACAATTATGTTTTCTCCAATCAAATATTTATTTCTTTAAATGACTCAACACTTGGATTCATTTCTTATTCCTAATCATTAGTTTTAGGTTTTTTTCCCTTTATGAATTTCTTCCTCCTCTTTGGTTTATGCAGTATTTTTTTTCTCCCTTGGTTGTTTTAATTTTACGAAATATTTGAACTGGATGATTTCTTCAGCCATTTAAGTTTTTCTTTCTGATAGCACCTTGGTTACCTTCTTTGGTTTTATAGGTGGCATTCAGATGGCAGTGAGTTTCTTAGATCATATAAAATTTAGGCTTTCAACTGTTCCCTGAACGAGTTATTTGGGAGAGTGCTTCTCGTTTAAAATGTCTGAGGGGACCCTGGTTGCATGTTTAAATTTGCTTGTTCCTTTTTTTTAGTGTAGCTATCGATGTCTAGATTTATTATACCATGGTTAAAGAATATGACGTTCGATTTCTGCTCCAAGTAACACATGAGATGCCTCCTTGTCTCATTAGGATAAAATCAATTTTTCTAAGTGGTTCATGGCTGCTGAGAGAAGAGATTATTGTTTAATGTATATCATTTAAGGGAAGCCTTATGCATTATGCATTAGATGAATTTATTTGTAATTTGCTTTAAGGACTAGGACGATTTTAAAAAATACTGCTGCATCTGAAGGTATCTCCTTTCCTCTCTATATATAATCGATGCTGTTTATATGCTTTATGTAATGGTGACTGACATGCAATGACCGTTATATATGGGATCATTACCAGTAAAGCTAAGATGTAAATTTTATACTTTATTATCTAATGCCTCCTGCCTGAATTCTCACTCAGAAAAAAAAAAAACATATAACAATCTCTGCATTTTATTTTCCTTCTGCATGTTATCTGATATCTATCTGTCTTTTATTAAATAAAGATATTGAATACTACGGATTCCTTTAAATTTGCATTGCTTCGTAAATATATGTACAACAAGTATTTCCTTTCCATGCTAGGTTTTTACTTGCTTCTTATCTTGATAACTTTCCCTGAAGTTCTGCATTTTTATACAACACTCAGTGAATAACCAACAATTTTTTCCATGGCAAACTTTCTAAGGACTTTCACTTTCTGGGGAATGACAAACTTGGCTGGGTATAAAATTCTCGGGTCCTAAAAGGGTCATTTTCATGATTCCAAATGCTCACTGGTTTCTGACTTTTGACATTGTCATCTAGATTTTTTCTTCAAATTTTTTCTTTGCAGACAAATCTACATTTCTTTTTCTTGTATGCACATAGTCACAGAAATCTTTATCACTACAATTTAAAAAATTCCTCTCTCTCTCTACGTGTGTGTGTGTGTGTGTATGTGTGTGTGTGCATTATTTAGTTTTCTCATGC